GCCCATTTCTAGAAACACTGCAATTTCAACTGATAAAAGGTTATAAGAAGACAAAAAGTCAACAAGCAATGATCCTACCTAAGCCTAAAATTGAACTAGGCAATAATAGGCAATGAGGTCAATGCATCTCCTGCTAAGAAGGTAAAGACGACATATAATAGATGTGCTGAATGCGGGGCCAAACGAAAGAAAAGCTAAGTTTGTCTGTGGAAAATGTGAAAAACATATACACAGGGAACATATAGCATGCATTTCCCGAAAATGTGCAAATTAAATGTAAAATTTTTCATATAAGTTTAAAAGAATGTTTTATCTTCCATGTGTTTGTTCTTTTATATTTTGTGCAGATTTAATAGTAAAAGAGAGGAAGAAACCGCCCTGGGTATGTCCTACCCAGCGCGAGCAATTCATTCGTTTTTCTCGCGCAAGTAATGCCGAGCGGTTTTAACCACTCGGCTGCTGACAGAGAGTTAGTAGTAGAGAAAGAAGAGTATTTGAAACTCGTAACTCTACCTCAGTGTGGTAGGAGAATATTTCAAGCTCTTCGAAAATAATTTGAGAGCTCTTTATTTCAGGCAGACAGACCGGATCCTACAACCCTGGGCAAGCAGTCCAAGAGACCTGAACAAGCAGTATAATTGATTTAACACAGGTGTGAATTAGTTCTTTACTAGGAGGTTCGCTTACACACCGAAGATCCATTACATTATGACCACCCTGTTACTAACATGTGAGACCCAATTTGGCCCTCAAAACTGCCATTATCAAGCGTGGAGTTGGTTCAACAAGGTAGAGTTACGTAGTCTGAGGTATCTGGTACCAAGCGCTTATTAACCGGTCCTCCAATTATCGCACATTGCGAGGGGTTAGCGTAAAAGAAAGAATTTGGTTTCCCAGATGGAACCACAAATGTAGGATGAAAGTGAGGTGATAGTAGAGGCCAAGACATGACTTGAAAGTAACTGGAATGTTTCCCAACCACTCCCTGACCATTCGACCCTTATTACATGGTGCATTATTCTGTTCGTAAACTGTATTTCCACCGGAAATACTGCTTTCATGAATGGGTGAACATGGTCAGCAACGATGTTCACTTAGCGCACAGACATCAGGGATTATTTTATGGGTCCTAATGTGCTGCATGGAAAATCACCCACACCATAATAACACCCGACACTGGCTTGTCTCCATTCAACTGTGCTTCTGAAAGCCAGGATGTCGTTTGAAAATCGGCATATTAGAACATGCTCGTCGATGTGATGGACCAGAAAACGTGATTCGTAGGACCATGCAACTTTCTTCCATTTTTCAGATGTCCAATTCCGATGTTTCTTGGCCCATTGCAGACGCAGCTGGTGATGACGGGCCGTCAGTGCAGGGACATACTTCGACATCTGGCTACGTAGGTCCATAGGCAGCAACGAACGCTGCGCAGTGTGTTGCGAAACACTGTCTGGGTTGCCACTGTTGTAGCTGGTGGTGATATCGGATGTTGTGGGACTTCTCGACAAGGCAAAAATACATAAAAACTCAAAATATATATTTTAAAAATTACGAAGTAAATCTGAAATACTTATTTCCTCGAATAAATTTCCAGAATAGATTAAGTATGATTTAATTCGCAATAATAAAAGATGGCGTTATCTTTGTTGTGTTTCTCTAGATTTGCAACAAATCCGCTTTTTTGTCAAGTTTGAAATATAAACAAATATGTACGCCATCTCAAAATTCATTAGGCTTAGCTGCACTTAAACAACTTTTAAATTGTTGATAACTCCACAAATATTGCATGCAGATTTACTAAAGGCATAAAAACCTTAACCGAAAGATAAGAACAACATAATTCAGTCATTCTTAAAACAAAAAATGCACAATTTACAAACATATAAGACTAAAGAAACTGAGCTCACTGAGCCAAGTAATAGAGTGGATATATATATATATATATATATATATATACAGAGAGAGAGAGAGCAGACCGCTATTTATTTTAATTTATTATTTTTATTTTATTATTTTTCTACTTTGATTTTGATCTTACTTCGCTCGGAATCATAATAGCCTTTGACACCTTAAAGTGTTTTTCGGCGGACGCGTCGGGAAAAAGAAACAGAGCAGTGGAGCTACTAAAAAGGATTTATTCCAAAAGAATTTCTTCGGAAATACTAATATACTTTTGTATAAAGTTTTTTTCGCATTAAACAAGAGCTTCAATGGTTTGTTTCGGCGAAACGCGTAATGGTATTTAGCCTATTTCGTAGATCAGTTTTTTTTTCCCTTGAAAAGCCAACTGAGAGTGCGAGTGGGCTAATATACCATTTTCCCGCTATTTAATTATTGTTTTTGTAGCTACATTTTGATGCTTTTTGTGTCTTTTTATTATTTTTAATTTTGATTTTAATTTTTATGTATTGGCATATTATATATTGGCAATTTTAATTTTAATTTTTTATGTATAGGCATTTTTTATATTGACATTTATAATCCATGTTTTTGTAACTTCCTGATATTTATATATATTTTTTCCGTCCATCTTTTTTTCATGTGAGTTAACTTTTCACATTACACAACGGTCAGATTAATTAATTTTCGTGCAATAGCAAGTCTTCCAGCACTAAAATTTGGCAATTTTATCGCGCTTATACAGTTTTTCCAGTTTTACCAGGCAAATTTCTTATTGTCTATGTAGTACTATGTTACCACATTTCGTGGAGCTACAGTCCTGGTAACTTTTTAGCAAGGTTGCTGCAATGTTCCTACCTACTACTCTTCTTTCAAATCTTTTTGCAGCATTATGCGCAAAATATTTGAGACCAGATAGGTCTTTCGTCTAATTACCAGTTCGCTTTACATTTTCTTTTTCAATTAATATATATATATATACATATATTTATATACTTTTGGTGAGGTCGATTGCAACCAAAATAAGAGGTGTACATCTAAATGTTATAGCAGTCCTACATACAAAATTTCAATGTGCTGAGGCTACTCGTTCTTGAGTTATGCGAGATACTTAGGTACATACGTAGGTACGCACAGATACCACGAAACAATTTCTTCAGAATTCATTTTAAATCAGTTTCATAATTTTTTGGGGGATAAGAGTCCTTTATTCTGCCCTTACTTGCGGATGTCACGCAAAAACATGATTGAATTGCATTGGATAGCGGTCAAAGTCGATATTTTCATTGAAATATGATATCCGAAAGTTTTCGCGATTACAATACTTCCTTTTTACTTCGTACAAGAAAGTAAAAAATGTACATTATTTTTTCTTCAATTTCCTTAATAGCTTTTGTGTTGAATAGTAAGTAAGTATGTTTTATTTTAAATTTTGGTTCTAAAATTTAAATTAAATATACGAAATAATAGGTAATTTATAGGAACAAAATGTGAAATTAACTATAATCATTTGAGATATATATTTGATATTAGGAGATGTTTTAGTAATCAGAAAAAATCTTCGTTCGCTAGTGGCGGTCATCAAGACAAATGTCAAAAGTGTATGGCGATGGATAAAAGAGTAAATTCTTAAATTAGGTAGTTATTCTGTGGATCAGTGAGGCTAGTGTTAAATAGAAATTCTGGTCTCAGGAATTTTTCTAACTCTGGATTTCTCGAGAGGAAATTTGTCGGCAAAATATGGAGGCGGGCTGCGGGGATGACGTCGGAAATTCATTTCTCTGTAGGCGGCAGCTTTTGTAAAATAAATTTTGTTTTGAAGATAGATGCTGTTCATTCTTATGGGTTTCTTGACCTCATAAGGCATTTCTCCCGCCTTCCTAGCGTGCCTTCGTGGTGTAGTGGTTCTGCACGCTGGGCCGGTATTCCAGAGGTCCGTGGTTCGATTCTCGGAGAAGGCGTTGTTAATGTTTCATCTTTTTAGCTTTTCCAATTAACCTAATGTCTCTACAACCTGTGATGTGAATAGAAGTTGCAGTTTCTAAGCATAGGACATGTTTTGTCGAGGCGTTCTGTTCGTCAATTGTTTGCACAGGAAGAGTAAATTACCTTGAAGTTTTCTAGGGTTGTTAATAAAGAAAAATGTACTGCGCCCACTCTAATTTTTACGCAGTTATAATTGGTTGGAAAACGATCATGGTAGACTCTGGTTGACCAATTATTTTCAAATGAGGCATGGTTGCATCGGAAATTGCTGTATAATTGATAATTAGACGAGGAGTTAATGAGGGGGAGTTTAGTTAAACGGAGGCTCAGTGTTTTCTTTAGCTACTTGTTTTGAGTTCGATGTGCAGTTAGCAAAAATGAAGAAGAAGAAGGAAGAGAAGGCGAGAGAATGCGGGTGATAACTAGTAAAACGGTTTGACAGTGGAGGAGAAAAGCAGAGTATTGCGATGACAACCGTCATAGAGATAAAAGAAAATTTAAGAGACAAGTTTCGGCCTTTTTTCGGGCCTAGAAAGTGATTTTTTCGGGGCCTAGAAAGATAAATGTAATGCTAACAAAATAATATTTCTAACGATTTTTGAAATGATAATACATCGTTGAAATCACTGAATATGCAAAAATATACTAGAAAGTGAATATAGTAGATATTAGAAGTTATTTCTCAAGCTATTAAACTACTTTATTGGTCGGCGAAAGTAAAACACGCTTGGACACCGTTACGTCCCAAGGTTGGATAAATGTCAACTTTATAACGAGATATTATTTAAATATTTTATTTCGAAAATAAATCTAACGATTCTGTACTGGAAGCCTGCTGTGCTTTATTCACATAATTGTTTTTCAATGAGAAGTGTGTACCTCTGTTAAATTCGCACATCTTGATGTGTATATTTTTCACTAAAAATATGTCATGTAATATTGCACGTAATAATAGATGGAAATTATTGATAACTGATTCCCCTCTCTTTCCCTTTCTTCCGTCGTATATACCAGTAGGTAATCTATCATTGAAACGTTACAGTGGCTAAACTTCTTCAGACTGCAATTTCCGCTTATTATCCTTGTGATTCTGAAAATTTAATTTAAAGCCATTTATATGTACTTCTTTTATTTAACTTAAATTTTCTGCATGTAACATCAGTTTTTGTTTACTACAATTTAGTACGAATGAATTTATGACACAAGATTTTGCGTAATTTCAGTTCCCATATCTTCGGCTCGAAACATTGAATAATTTTCCCATGTAAATTAAATTACAGCTCCATTTCTATTTGCAATGGTTTCCTAAGAAAGCTCCTTTATATATATTTGAATCTTTGTACATCATCTACGCTTTAAAAATCGTTGAAGTACGTTCGTTGAATCGTTGAAGCAAAGGTTAGAAGTCGATGAGTTGCAATACTTTATTAAAAAATATTCAGGACTAAAATCTTTTCATGAACGATATTTTCTATTCAGTTATTTTTCAAACAAATTTCTAACAGTAAAACTCTAGTTTTGCTATTTAAATGCATATCAGTTTCTTATATTGTAGATCTACCCGTTGTAAACAAAGCTGCAAAAGCAGTTGAATGACACAGGAACAGCGTCTTCTAGAATGTCCTCAATTACTCCTCCTTTCTTTTTCTTTTTCTTTTTCTTCGGATCGGAATCACACGAACACTTATGATTCTCGCAACATTCGTTCTTTTTAGGATCACACTCACTTTCAGCAGCAAGACACTTGGGCCTAAAGAAAATGAAGGAAATGTTTTCACATGGTTGTTAACTTTTGAAATTATTGCTAATTAAAATTGTATATACAATTTATTTCCTTGTTTAAATTTTAATTACCATCCGTGATCTTTGGGAAACTAAAGAGAATAATATGACATTTATTATAGCATCACCCGAATGAATTTGCAAATTTAATTTTTAATTGGATACTCGGTGTTCCCTCTTGATTGGAATTAATTTGATTCACTGAGAAAATTTATATTTTCAATCGAAATTTCTGCGTTGTGTTGTAACTAACCTCACTCATCTGACTTAAACAACAAGCCCGTGAATCGTGACATGGAGCACAAGGCAAACGTGCCGTAGGCAAGAGCTTTGAGCACCATGTAGATGACAATCTGACTTTGTTCATTTTTGCCCAAGTTTTGAAGTCATGGACCTTATAGAGCTTATACAGCGATTGAACAGCAATTTTTTAACTCTGTTTCCTTCATCGAACAGAACCAGTCGTGGGGTCAGGAAATAATAAATTTGAAAAAAAAATTGCCGTTTTCACTCTAGCCTGACGTATATATGAGTAAAAATCTTTTAGAAAGTCCTCCACGAAAACATCCTTCCTCTTAAGCAGACAGGCTAGGTGTGCTTTGCCATAATAAGCCAAGTGATCCGATTTTCTTGATTTGGCAAACTATACATTCAATTATTTAATCATAATATAATTAATACCAAGATCATTGTTCGTATCAGCTATAATGATTCATTATTTTATTGAGCTTCTTCGACGGTTATATTAAATTTAACATATATTTAGTGCTTGAACCAAACCTTACAAACCTTAGGTGCTTAATTACATATAATAATAACTTAATAGGTCGTATTATAAAATCATATTACAAGTTATCTTCTTGCTCATCTTACGCAACAAATTTGCCGATTAATTAAATTTCATGTTTATTTTGCTTGTTCTAGTATTCTTTTTGGTTTATCTCAATGAATATCCTGGAAATTTGAATTAGATTGGGATTAAAATTTTTTACGCGTTTTGTTTATTTCAAAAAGTCTTTTTTAGCGATTTTAAAGAAAATTTTTCTCAGCGGCTGAATTAAATTTCTGTTGTTCTGCTCTATAAGGTACGAGAAGTGGGTTTTACGCATGCTTTCGTGGTGTAACGGTTGAACACTCAAGGCGTAGTCGAGAAGTCCAGGTTCGAGTCCCGGCGAGGCTCATTTTTTTTCACTCCCCCCTGCTTCAAATTAACCTAATGACGCTACAACTCTTTATTACGCATTATTAGCTGCATAAAAGTCTTTTCAGACATTTACTTAGTGGCTTTTATATCTGCTTTAAATATATTCCGACACTCTACAATCGGGTTACAATTTAGTTTTGAAAATCTATTGGTTATTACCACTTATCTTCTGTATTTTTGTAATAGTGGTCACACTTGCCGTTCATTTAATCCTAATTTAATCCTTTACAGCTCCTCAGCAACGCATAATTATTGCAGATTTTAGCTACTCCTTATCGCTATTAACTACAGGTTTTAGAGCATTTACCGCGTAAGTTGCTAATTTGATTCATTGCATGCTTTATATTCCAAAATTATTCAGTTCTTTATTAATTTTAAGGTAACAGTTTAAACTTTGCAAAATAATTAATTAACTCTAGCTTTATTTTTACCGAGAGTTAGTGTTTTTTTCCTTCCTTTCTTTTCTTTTAAATTATCATTTCTTAATTTGCATTATATTTTGAAAATAGGCGTAAAAATAAAATTAATTAATTAAATAAATAATATTTACTCTTTCCTTTCACCCTCCAGCATAGCCAGTTCTATGGATGCTGTAAAAAAGATTACAGGTGTAAATAAAATTAAATAAAACATACTTTCTTTCAAATTTTATCAAAGGAAAAAAACAACCTTATTTTCTTTAGTATATGAAAAACATTTAGCTGTATGTACCTTCTCTTTTATCTTTGATTACAGATGCTACCGCAATTCCTACGGCACAAAGGGTAACAAATATAACAAGTTTCACCATTGCTAAAAGAAAGAAAAAAAAACATGCAAGTAATAATTTCATCATGAGAGCTTTTAAATGCAATAGTTTGTGACAGGCAAAGCTTAGTTATTAAACGATTGCTGGTAATATATTTTTAACGAATTTCAGTAATTTCATTAACAAAAATTGCGTTTATGCCACACGTCACGTATCTTTAGGTTACTCCTGCAATAAAGAAAATACTGCCTTCATTAAAATTTCAGCAGAAAACGACACTTTGGCAGTATTTTACAATACTGTAATTTAAAGCATTTACTTTTATTAGGAAATAAAATATTAAGAGCAAAAATTGCAATCATTGGAAAATGCGTAAGGGAAAACACTTGCGAAAATAATACTTAGAAACATTAATTTAAAAAGACGGGCTAAACATATTTTATACACTGTGACATTTAGTTTTTGTTACAAGATGCTCGAAAATTGCACGAATGCTAGGTGGTTTTTGGCTTAATGGACGTTTTAGCTCAAAGGGTTATTAGTCTCGAAACCCGATTTTGCATTCATTGCAATGCTTTGTTTCACTTTTCATTCATTCACGTTTTTCATTATTCAAACACCTTTTTGGTATTCGGAAAAGCATCAGATGATATTCTTTAATATTTAATCTGTCTCTTATCAACTAATAAAATAAACTATTTAAAATCAGTAGTACAATTCTTAAAAATATTATTTTTACTTTTTAATCTTTTCGATTGAATTAACAAATTAAACATTTAAAAGCAATAGTGGAGTTCTTAAAATATCATTTTAACATATTAATCTGATTGTTGTAAATAAAAGTATATTTAATTCCTGATACAGCTGATTAAAATTATTACATATTTTTATACAGTAAAATTATATGATTTTCACTATATATTTTCATTATATGTTTAACATTGTATGTTTTGAGGTGTAATAGTAGGTAGCTATTTCTTCGAAATGCAATGGCGAGTAGAAAGTGTAGAATTTAATGCAATAGAAGGATATACACTTGTGGTGTTGCGCGGCCCCAACCTACACGCAACAATAATATTTCCTGAAAATTCATAGCAGTCACTATTATTGTTGCGTGTAGGTTGGGGCCACGCAACACCACATACTGATCAATATGGAGCTGAAAAAGTCTGTTAATATTACACTGAACGCCATTTTTGTAGGAAACTTTTGAAATATCATGAAAAACAAATACAAACGTGACTAATTAGCATATTCTTGAATGTATGACTCTATGCTTAAAGTGTCAGAGTAAAGTAGCCGAAATAAAAAGGCAGGTAATGAAGGTGACAGTTATATCTAGTAAATTAAGGTTTAATTGCATCTTTTGTAAAAACATATCTTTATATTATAGAGTTGATTTCTGGGCTGATAGAGTTGTTAGGATAAACAGAAATAATGCCTAGAATTTTATAGTTTTCAGTCATTTCACGTAATTTGAATATTTAGCTTTTCTGCAGCTCTTTTTGAATCAGAATTTCTATGGCTAAATGTAACAAAACGCAGTGCCAAAGATCTTGATTTGGTCTTTCATTTCTACCAGTCATGAGACTTCAGTAATTATTCTATTATTTCCTACGTTGAGTTATAAAATTGTAATTGTTCAACATAAGCTCAAATTTCATGCCGTTTTCTTTATTACTAATAAAATTCGATATGAATTCGAAATTTTGTTTCAGAAATGAACTTCTTGGGTACCGATAATATTTCTTGCGGAATACTCTTAATATATTCTCCTTTCTCATTATTTCCTACTATGCCCATACAAAAAATATTGAAATTCAGTCACCATTTAGGCGAACTCGACCGGCATAAAAATGCAGCAAGTACGAGGAAGCAATTGGCAAAGAGCAACCAGGTAGTAGATATGACTTACCATGCAAGAAAGTGTCACAGAGATGAAATGAGCCAGTGTGAGAAATTATAAAATTTCTCGCTTTTGAAAGCATAATTGTAATTTATCACTTAAACCATAAGGAAAGTAATTACTTTAGTTAAACATTACAGACTATCTTCCAATTAATTTCGGAGTACGTAAACTCAGAATTTTATATTGGAATATATTGCAATTAAATTTTAAGTGTTTCCGGTTCAACAGAATTAAAGTTATAGGCAAATTGATCTGAATAACTTGGAAATGAAGGTTTAATACAATGTTTAACTGTGTGTTATGTAATTTAACAATTTTTAATCTGTCAATTCTAAAATCGCCATTTGGGTGTAGAGCTAAATAACACCTAAGTTTTGAGAAAGATTATAATTTGCATCGTTTTGTAATATGCAAATCCTTATCATGTGCAGAGACAGTGACCTTATACACAGCATTACGTTATTGTGCTGCTGACTTAGGATCAAAAGGTTAAACTTACCAATAAAGATTCTGAACCACTTAGTCAAGTGTAAATAATACTTCGGAATGCACTGTTTATAAGAGGAGATTTAGGAAAAATATATTTATAGGGTTTATAACTGCAGCTGTCCTTTACATTTCTCATTTCATCTGCTCTATTACATGTTATGCAAACAAAGACATAACATCTGCGGGGATGACAGAACATCTGATGGTTGGAAGATGATGAAGATTCACAATCTGAAGGCGGACATTTAGGAAAAAAACGTTTCTAATGTAAAGTAATTGAAATATGCGAAGACATTTCGATTACGTTTTTAGCTTAAAACGGGTAGAAATCTCAAATCACGATTTTGTGTTCATTAAACTTTAAATGTCTTCCACTGTAAATGCCTTGTTTCGCTTTTCATTCGACTCTTCGGCCATTCAACAAAATGAAAAATATTTATCTTTTAAATTCAATCTCTCCGTTATTAATTAGTATACTAAACCATATTTAAAAACAACAGAGGTAGTTTATTAGAATACTATATTTTTACTTTTAAATCTGATTGATTTAAATAAAAATGCATTTCATTCATGTTAAATAATATATAGCATAATTAAGTATTATGCTATATATTTTTTCACTTTTCAAATATGCAAAAGATGTACGCATATTTCTCTAAATATACACTCGTCTATCATCATATAAAAATTTCGCTATTCCACCTGGGCTATAACTATTCATGATCTCTGCTGATAATCCATACAAAACTTTAAAGAGCCTTTTTGGGTGATAGTTAAAATCTGTATACTTTCAGGTTTTTTTAACTACTGATAAGCTCGTCTGTAGTACTTTTTTTGTGCGTGAAGAGAGACGTGCAGGTGAATAAAGTAACTGTGATAAAGTACGGTTTGGGGATTGCCGATTTGTGAATTTTCCAAACGAAAATAATGTCAAGTATAAATCCGAAATCTTGCGGGTATTGCAAATAGCAGCTAATTATTTTCTGCAGCTCAGTCCTTGCAGATCAAGAATGCGTAAATATATATTAGAAAATATTTGAATTAGTTCCTTTATTATTGAACACATTTATATTTGACTAAAATTCAATCATTGGTAAACCGATGCGACGAACTGAATCTGTTGAAGAAGCTTGTTGAGACGTCTATGGGCTGTTATAGGCTGTACTACAAATGATAAAAAGAAGAAGAGGAGTTTCTTATTGGAAAGCACGCTAGGTCTACCTACCCTAGGAATGACTTGGATGAGGCCATTTTTAGGGAACATTTCAAACTGAAATGTCATATTCGAAAAATTACAAAACTCATGCAACCAACCAGTTAACTGGGAATAGATGCCTTATTGAACTACCAGTTCTTAGCAATTCGTTGACGACCGCTGTTTTTTAAGGCTTTATTTTGGAAGAGTAATGTTTATTTTTCTCGTGTGAAAGATTGCAGATCGAAACAAGCAGATTTCCAATGCAAAAAATGCAAGACATTTAATGTATAGTTTTGATTTGATTATACCAAAGACATACTCTATGTTTGATTATTTATAATGCTTTCTATACTATATGATGTTGCATAATTCTTTTTCCAACCGCAATACATTTAGCATTTCAATCAATATTTCTAATAAAAGTAAGCTGAATCCAATGTTAAGGTGTATTATTGGAAATAAATATTTCTAATGTGCTATGTATTACATATCCTGGAATAAGACTCACAATCAAGGTCTAGTTCTGATTATAGATGGTAATATATATATGATACACGACAATTCAGATAAACGCACAACAATGCTCGACTCAAACTTAGGACTTTCAGATTAGGCAAGAAGTGGGTCTCTCAGGCAGACTTATCACCAGCGAGAGTAAATAAAATTCACTTCGCTGCCTCTCGCCCCACAGGCGACAGACTCTAATAGACCCTCTAATCTATGGCTGAACTGTTCAACCGGGGTCACTACTCACGGCGACTAGAGATCACCATGGAATTCCACCAGTAGCTTCGATTTCCTGAAATCGCTGTAAGGCATACACGGTTACAATATAAGGTTCCATTTGATCTGGTAATGCTATTTTATCCAAGCAATCATAATATACGTGAACTATCGCAATGTCTAAATAGAAAAACATAGCTTTAAGTTTAAATTAAACTTTTTTTTTAAACAGAATTTAGAACAGAAAGACATTCCCTTGCGCTGCAATTTCCACAACTCGTGGTAATGCAACATAAAATAAAACAGTCCAAATGAAATCAAACGTTGAACATTAGTCAAGGACTATACAGTTAAATACTACTAGAAGCTGTCTCACTAATTCTACAGGAGTTTCAGAATTAAAGGGACGGCAGGAATATAATATAATGTTGAATAGTACAAAGCATCTGGCAGGCGCGCACATGCGATGGCAGAAGCCCACTCTGTATAAAATTCCAAATATCTCAGTCACAAAAATGCAAATTAATATCTACTAGATATTAATTTGCATTTTTGTGAGGAATACATAATGAAGAATTTATCGCTAAGACTGTATAAATAACTAATTAGTTATTAGATTCCTTACAACGTTGTGTAATCAAGAGTATTTTTGGAATATTTTATGAAAACTAAATAAGAAAACATTTCTTTCTTTTGCAAGGCAACTTTAAGACATATCAAGTAATAGATATACACATCATTATTACCTCATAACATGAGGTGTTTATTTATAGACAAATCTTGAACATGCCAATTTCATTTCTGTATAATTTACCAAAATTTAAGGAATATTTCCAAATTCGCAATTTTAATAAGGGGATAAACAGATAAATTTAGTTATATGTCCTATAACTGCTGCTGTCTGTTACATTTCACATTTTTTCTGAACTCTCATACATACTGCTAAAGAAAATATTACGGCAGGGATACCACAACATCTGGTGGCTTGAATATAATGGAAGCAAAATATTTTATAAGATATCTATTTTATATTATAATTATATATACTAGTGTATATATTTTTCTTAATTAGTATTAAGAAAAATATTTGCTTTTTAAATTAAAGTTATTGAAGATTTCAAGTAAAATGTTTGAAGACATTCTCTTTAGCTTAGTAGAATGCTTGTTTGTAAAAAGAGCATTGTTAGTGCCTAAGGAGGAAATTACAATAAATGTTCCAAAAATATGTGAATTTTTGAAATAACATTATGTCATAGTTACACATTAATTCTTAATCATGTTACACATATTAATTGATGGTTTTCTACAGCCAGGCATTAAGCGAAGAATACATGACAATAATTGAAATTATTTTTTATTAGAAAATTTATTGTTGGAAAATTCGATGCTTACCTGAATATTCTTTTCGTTCTAACCTGAAAAAGCTTTCTTTTAGAACACCGATATTAACACTTGGATTTTTCGCAGTGATTGAGCCTCCGAGAGACGTCTCAAGCTCTCTTGAGCATTAGGAGATTAGGACTCGGCCTTTTCTCTCATCTGCAACATCACAATGATAATCATAACACCGTTATGTGCTTGATTTATACATCATTCCACTAAGGATGGAAGGTACGCCCAGGAGATTGCTTCTAGTGAAATATCTCATCTAAGTCTTCCACTAATTTCCAGACTCTATTCCTCGTCGTGTGTTTGCCCTTAGGAAAAAATCTTCCAAGTAGACTAAAAGCTCAGTAGTCCACAGGTAAAACGTCAGGGGATTCGGGAGGAATATTTTAAAAAGGCACATATGCAACACCTGTATCAATCTTCATTTATTCAAAGAATGCAATATCACGTACATACCAAGTGTGATTTGTTGCTTTGTCTTGAAGTTTCACTCTTTGACAATTATTTGGATAAAGAAATAGAAATTCTTTTGTAAATATCTGACTTAAAACATTTTATTGATAAGACGTTGAATTGGTTAAAATTTTTTAACGGTCTTTTTATTTTTAATTCCTCATTTTAAGCGAATCCTGAGAGAATCATAAATTCCTCACTGAAACATTTTTTACACTGCGGAACCAGGTTTATGCATATATTTCTCTTCATTTTCTCTAACAAATACAACGTTTTTTTGACGTAATTTATGTAAACCCATGTTTCATCAATTATCATAATGTTTTCCATTTCTCTCCTGCTAAGTAGTTTTCATACCAGGACTCACAAATTGTTCTGCGGTTGAGTCATATGCCTCTTCACAAGCTGGTGAACATAACCTTTTGTAACGTTTTTAAGTTGCAGATTTTCTCCCTTCATCGAGCGATTTAACTTTAGGTGTATTAGAAACGCTATGCACCTTTTTCGAGTACTCCTTTAGATTCTTCTTTCCATACAGAGAAATTATTGATGATTTTCCCTTGACCAGGTTAATGTTGCTTAGTTTGCACTTCGAAAGTTTAATACCATGCATTTCACAAGGTTTTTGAATTATAAAATAGAAAAATATTTATCTTCGGAAAGCGCGAAAACATACCATCATTCAACAGCTTTCTTAAATGAGACATTTCGAAAGAAGAATAAATTTAAAAGTAGCAGAAGATATTTTTGATTTCATATAACAAACTGCTGCACAAAATATTTATTCCAAAGTAATTACGTTTTTAAATTTTTTGTCGAAATCCTTTTAAAAATGTGGAAGCAACCTCTGTAAGAAGAAAATCATTAATTTATTTCGTCTCCTAAATAGATCTTTAACCCCATCTATATTACAAAAAAAAAAAAAAAAAAAAAAAAAAAAATGCAAATTTGTGAAGTATTAAAATTTTCTTGTCGAAAGTTTTTTCACAATAATTTCTAGTTCTTTCTGTTTAATGTTATTAAAACCAGAGATTGACTATTACATAATAATATAATGGTTAATGAATCACATATAATGAGCTAAAAGTTCCAAGCGATTTTGAGGTAAAAGTTCAGTTAGTCAATATTCCAGATATATGTGAATATTTGTAATAATTTATTCATATTATTGTTATATTTCGGTTTTTAGATTATTTGTTTTTCATTATGCTTGCATTAAATTATTTATTGTTTTTTTATTTAGAGTTTATTACAATATTTTTTTTTGTTACCAGAATCGAATCCCGCGATAACGAGCTGCAAGTGACGCCTCGTTTGTCTATCTGT